ACACACACACACACACACACCAGGTGGGGGAGGGAGAGAGAGGGGGAGAGGGAGAGGGTGGGAGAAGGGGAGGGGACGGGAGGGGAGGGGAGACTCATCCAGAAAGATGGTGACACAGGCCATTAATCTCAACACCTGGGAGGTAGAACAGGAAGATCAGAAGTTCAAGATCACCCTACTTGAACACAGTTGGTGGTTTGAATGAGACTGGCCCTACAGGTAAATATTTTCATGCTTAGTCTCCAGTTGGTGAACTTATTTGAGAAGGACTAGGAGGTGTGTGGCTTTGTTGGAGGAGCTGTGTCACTAGAGGTGGTTTTGAGGTTTCAAAAGCCACGCCAGGTCCAGTGTCTCCCTCTCTCCGTTTGTGGGTCAGGATGTAGGGCTCTCAGCTACTTCTCCAGCACTATGGCTCCTGTCTGCCACCATGCTCCCCACCATGATGATAAGGGACTAGCCCTCTGAAACTGGATGCAAGCTGCTAATTAAATGCTTTCTTCTGTGGGGTCAAGGACACCACAGGAAAACTCAGAGAATCAACTAATATGGGCTCACAGGGGTCCACAGAGACTGAACCAACAACCAGGGAACCTGCACGGGACTGACCTAGGGCCTCTGCATATATGTGACAGTTGTGTAGCTTAGTCTTCTTCTGGGACTCCTAACAGCTGGAGCAGGGGCTGTCTTTGACTCTTTTGCCTCCTTTTGGGACCCTTTCCTCTTCCTAGGTCACCTTGTCCAGCCTTGATAGGAGGGGAGGCGCCTCGTCTTACTGCAACTTGATATCCATTTTTGCTTGATATTCATGAGAGACCTGCCCTTTTCAGAAGAGAAATGGAGAAAAGGGGGAGTAGATGGGAGGGAAAGGCAGAGAGGAGGTGGAGGGAGGGACTGTGAGGAGGGGAGGGAGGGGAAACTGCAGTCGGGATGTAAAATAATAATAATAATAATAATAATAATAATAATTTTTAAAAGGATAAAAAATGCTTTCTTCTGTAAGCTGCCTTGGTAATGATGTTTCTTCACAATGACAGAACACTAAGTCACACGGTAAGTTTGAGGGGCTCAAAATGATTTATTTAAATATTTGGGGCTAGATATTAGAAGATGGAAGACCACAGTAAGCAAAAACAAAGGAAAATACACATAGGTTTTCCTTCTGTAAGATTTTTCTAAATTGTGTTTGACACCTTCAGGAAAAACTATTATACTTTCTGATTGGTTCTAAATGTTTATAAAGGAAATATCTAAAGTCATTACAGTAAAATGAAGAACAGAAAAGGGATATAAAGAGACATAAGATCTCTATATTTTACTTAAACCATTGAAATGACAATAGTAGAGTGTGAGAAGACATGTATACACAGCATTCCTATGGCGACAGCATAAAAGAGCTTGAAAAGAGGTCAGTCCGGGGCTGGAAGGGTGGCTGAGCTAGAACACTTACTGCTCTTCTTGATGGCTGGACTTCTGTTCTCAGAACCCATGTCAGGTGGCTCACACCCCTACAACTCCAGCTCGTGGATGTCTAGTGCCTCTGGCCTTGACAGGCACCTGCTCTCACAGATACACACCCCCAACCCTGCCCTGCACATAAATAAAAAGAAAAAAACAAAACAAAACAACTCTTTACAAAAGAGATATATTTAAAACATTATAGGTAAATCAAAATGAAACTCTAGAAAATGTTAACATAATCCACAGGAAAACAGAAATAAGACACTATAAACAAAACACAGAAAACAAAAAACCAAAATGGCATATGTAAGTTCTGGCATATTAATAATCCTATCAAATATAAATACTCTACATATACCTATTTAAAAAGCATGATCCAATTATATGCTATCTATAAAAAACCCTCATTTCACTTCTGATGACATAGAAATATTAAAAGTAAAAGAATGAAAACCATATCTTGAAAACATTAAAGAAAACAAAAATGGTTATATTAATGTAATTAAGTAGACTACAGAGCAATGAAAACCATCATGAACAAGAGAGACATATTATGTTGTGATTAAGAAAGACATCAAGCCAGGGCGGTGGTGGCGCACGCCTTTAATCCCAGCACTCAGGAGACAGAGGCAGGCGGATCTCTGTGAGTTCGAGGCCAGCCTGGTCTATAGAGCAAGATGCAGGAAAGGCACAAAGCTACACAGAGAAACCATGTCTCGAAAAACCAAAAAAAGAAAAAAAAAAGAAAGAAGAAAGAAAGAAAGAAAGAAAGAAAGAAAGAAAGAAAGAAAGAAAGAAAGAAAGAAAGAAAGAAAGAAAGAAAGAGAGAAAGAAAGACATCAAATTGTGATGTGTGCCTGTGATTCCAGCATTCAGCTGAGGTTACAAGGGATCATGAGTTCAAAGCCATACTGGGATACATCGTGAGACATGGTAGGAGGAAAAAAGGCAGAGGGGCATTAAAGGGACCATGAAAAAAACTATCATGCAAATGTATTCACTGAACAGAAGAGGTATGAAAAATGGGAAGGAAATATTGAACTGAAAGAAACAAATTCACAGTTGTAGTTGATTTTAGATTTGTAGTGCCACAATGCTCTCTCAACAATATAATGAACAACCAGACAAAGATTGGTAAGTATACAGAATACATCAATGATACTATCCACCAAGAGGATCCAGGTAGTGTTTTCTGAACACTCTACTCACCATTGGCAGAAACGCATTATTTTCAAGTTGTTACAAAACATGTATTAAAATATTCATATTCTTATATTTTTTGTTGAGAGCCTAGCCTTTAACGGCTGAGCTATCCCTCCAGCCCAGTGAGGTAACCCAGACTCAGAAAGACAAATATGGTATGTACTCACTCATAGGAGGATACTAGAGGTGGAACAAGGATGACTGCACTGCTACTCACATCACCAGGGAGGCTACCTGGAAAACAGGACCCCAAGAAAGACACGAGGAT